TTCTGACGGCACCCATTCACTGCAGAGGAACCACTGGTGAGCAAGTGATGTAATCTTACATTTCTCCAAATCTGTTCCGATGAAGAAGCAAACTCATCTACATCTTGGATGGTCTGAGGGCAAGTAAATTTTCAGCAAAGTTTCATTTTTGAGTAATCTATTCCTTTAATGCTCTATTGCATTTTAAATGAACATACTCCTAAACTAAACCCTACCCTAATCCCAACTGATAGCATGAGCAAAAGTACATGTGAGATAAAAATGCATTTGCTGAAGCAAGCATGCTGTTTTAGCTTCCTTTTATACACTTTAAAACACATAAAAGAAATATTTAACTAAAGGTTTTATGTCTCTAGCCTTTCTTAGACATTTGGCATTGTGCAACCAACCATCCATTCAGTGCGTTAAATAAGGGGAGACATACAAAATGTACAGAGCAGTGGGTCCCGAGGACTGGAGTTGAGAACCACTGCTTTAAAACAATCAGATTTGAGTATGCAATCTGAGCTTGTTGCCATAATCTGTAGACACTGATAATAGCAATATCATACTTTTAATTTTATAGTCATTTAATGGCACATTTTTAACTATTTCCTATTTTTTTCTGTTACAGAAAGTGTTTTTGTTGTTGCTGACAAAGAGATTCATCGGCTGTCACCTGTTCCTTTGGAGGATCAGATTGAAGACCTGGTTAAGAGTCAGAGAGTTGATGAAGCCCTGATGCTGTTGGACAGACTTCAAGATCTCCTGCCAAAAGATTCATACAAGGTAAGACCGATGATAAATTACTAAGTAATTACTAATTACAAAGTAGATGTTTGTACTATCTTTCTTTAATATGTTAGAAATATATTAAGCCAGCATCTATCAGCAGGGGGTCATGAATAATGTTAACCTTCTAATGTTAATCTTTGACCCCTTAGTGTCAATAATATCTCATTTAATCATCATTTATAACACATAGATTATATTTGATAAGTAGGTATGCTGAAAGACAGAGTCATATGAGAATAATCGTAAAACATAGAAACTACACATAATGTTAAACGGAGCCATGAGGTCAGTGAGGCTGAGCGTCTTAGACACACTGAGCATGTCTCTAGCCTTTCTTAGACATTTGGCATTGTGCAACCAACCATCCATTCAGAGCCAGAGTAAAAGCAGTAAAACTGCTGACACCAACTTCCTCTCTGGATGAGAGTCACATGGCAAGGTCAAAATACACTTGAGTAAAAAACAAACGTCCATAACGCTGACAGCTTCTACGCTAATGAGGTGAGACCGTTCTTTACTCGTTTTATTTAGCTTTACTGCATGTAGATATCTGAGCTAATGAAGGCTGTTTTCCTTCTCTGCCCAATGTACTAGGTTTCTCATTTATTTTTAGGTGTATTTTTGCAACTGAGACCTAAATTAAGAGTAAATAACCATGAAAGTCTTCACCCCTGTGCTAGTCTTTCAAAAAATGCCCTCAGGGAAAGGCAGAGACAAATTCAGCATTCAATGTTTGGAGTGCTTTGGTAAAAACCTCTATATAGGGACCAAAGAGGGAGTCGTTGAGTACCTCACTGTAAATAACACGAGCGCTGAAGAAAGCCTTTCAGTGCGGGAGGTGGGGAAGAGACAGATGGGCCGAACCGGCGCAATCGGCCAGCTGACGGCGGTCCCTGTTCTGAATCATCTCTTAGTTCTCTGGGACGGTTCGGTCACGGTGCTTAACATGTTCTCCCTGGAACTCCTTCCTGCCCTGAAGAAAATACAGAACGTGTCACTCTTTTATGTCAGTGAGTCAGTGGTTCAGACTGATTCCGTCGAGCTCATTGCAGCTTCGACCAAGAGGAAAACAGTGAGTGTTTATAAGGTGTGTGTGGACAGATGGGAGTGTGTGAGACAGGTGGCTCTGCCGCAGGAACCTGTGGTTCTGGCTGTGCATGGGACGTGTCTGTGTGTGGCCACTTGTGACAGATATTTTCTCCACGACTATCAGAGCCAAACCACCCTCGATCTTTTCCCACATAACCTGAGAAAGCAAAATATCATTGCCAACAAATGTGGAAAAGGAGAATTCATTTTGAATGGGCCTGGATGTTTGGGTAAGAATTTTTATAATTATAAAATAAAAATAAAATTATAATAGACTAAATAAAAGACTAATAAAATTACAATTATAAAATACATTTTAAACTTTAAGTGGCAAAACAAGGTAAAAACAGTGTGAAAAATATGCCAGTGCAATAGAAAAAGAAATACCAGGGATCAAGTGATTTAAGGCCTTTATCTGCATGCTTAAAATGCACATAGATTATATTTGATAAGTAGGTATGCTGAAAGACAGAGTCATATGAGAATAATCGTAAAACATAGAAACTACACATAATGTTAAACGGAGCCATGAGGTCAGTGAGGCTGAGCGTCTTAGACACACTGAGCAAGGTAATTCATATAAGCACTCGCGCCAGATGCACAGATGTCATTCCAGCAAGACAATAGTATTAAACAAAGATCACAGAGGCACATATTCACAGATGTGAGCTTATCAAATGCATGATTTTAAATTTTTATATACTAGCTTATCAATAATAAAGCAAACTAAAGTAAACATGTTCTATATATATATATATATATATATATATATGAGCTGTGTATATTTATTATGTATATATAAATACACACACATGCATGTATGTATTTAAGAAAAGACATTACATTTTATTTCATGTACTCACAATAATTAATTATATATTAAGTACCCATAAGGAAAGAAAAAAATGGAGCCTTTTGTTGATATTTCTCTAATGATATTTTCATATGTGTCTCCTCAAAAGTTTCAGAAGAGATTTAAACAGAAGAGATTTATTAACCTGATTACATTTTTACAAGACCAGATAATCTAAGCTACAGTATTATGCAAGTTACTTTACCTTTAATATACTTTTGATATATTTTTGTTCATCAGTTTGTAGCTGTATTTAAATTATTGCCTAGTTGAATTCTATTTTTATTTATTTTTAATTCCCCTTTTTTCAATTATTTAATTTTGGGAATTTTAGGATAAATAACTCACATTTAATTGACACAACTGAAAACTCCATTAAAGGAGTAGTTCACTTCCACAACAAAAATGTACAGATAATGTACTCACCCCCTTGTCATCCAAGATGTTCATGTCTTTCTTTCTTCAGTCCTAAAGAAATTGTGTTTTTTGAGGAAAACATTTCAGGATTTCTCTCCATATAATGGACTTCTATGGTGCCCCCCGACTAGTTTGAACTTCCAAAATGCAGTTTAAATGCAGCTTCAAAGGGCTCTAAACGATCCCAGCAGAGGAAGAAGGGTATTATCTAGCGAAACGATCGGTTATTTTCTAAAAAAAATTACAATTCCAAAATGCAGTTTAAATGCAGCTTCAGAGGGCTCTAAACGATCCCAGCAGAGGAAGAAGGGTATTATCTAGCGAAACGATTGGTTATTTTCTAAAAAAAATTACAATTTATATACTTTTTAACCTCAAAAGTTCTTCTTGTCTAGCTCTGCGTGAACTCTGTTTTTTTCCCCGTCCAAGACAGTTAGGGTAGGTCTAAAAACTCCCATCTCATTTTCTCCTCCAACTTCAAAAACAGCCTACATCGCTGCAGAAGTACCGACCCAGTGTTTACAAAGTGAATATGCAAAGAAGATCTAATGCCCTTTACAAAAAAATGGCAAAACAGCAATGTAGGACGATTTAGGAGTTGGAGGAGAAAATGAGATGGGAGTTTTTAGATCAACCCTAACTGTCATGAACCGGAAAAACGCAGAGCTAGACAAGACGAGCGTTTGAGGTTAAAAAGCATATAAAGTGTAATTTTTGTTTTTGTTTTTTTAGAAAATAACTGATCGTTTCGCTAGATAAGACCCTTCTTCCTCGGATGGGATCGTTTAGAGCCCTTTGAAGCTGCATTTAAACTGCATTTTGGAAGTTCAAACTCAGGGGCACCATAGAAGTCCATTATATGGAGAGAAATCCTGAAATGTTTATTATTTTTAAAATGTTTATTAAAAAAAAATTACAATAATACATTTTTTAAATCAACAAATACTACAAATATGTTTCACATAAAATATGCCACATTCACACTGACTTTAAACCAGCGGTTCTCAGCTCTAGGCTGCGTTTCCCAAAGGCATCCAACTTCATAATTGGAGTGAAAACTAATATATTTATGAACTGCATACCATATATCCTGATTTATGCCATTCATCACTTTACTTTTAGGATCTACATAAAAATGTAATCTGTACATCTGGAATGATAAAGTTCTATAGAGAGGCTTTTGTGGAAGCAAAAGAGCTTTTTATGTAAGTAATGCTTTAATGTGTTTTACAAGCAAGTCATTTTTCAGTTTTTCTGCTTTATAATTTCGTGTAATTTGTGAAGTTTACTAGCAATTTCTGTGTGGAAATTGTTTCAGCATCCTTCGCCTTTTCACTAGAATCCTTTATTTTCCAGTAAAGGTGAACTAGACCCAAGGGAAATCATTAGCCTTTATCCAGCTATGCCTGTTATGAGTGAAGACTTTACACCTCAGACAACAGCAGTGAGCAATGCCAAGGACCTGTGGACGTTAAGTCGAGACGATTGGCCGACATTTCAACAGTACCTAATCTTTTTGGATGACTTCTTGAGAGAAGTCAGGCCAACAGGACAGGGCCAAATGTGTCCTCAGGACATCGACTCAGCACTTTTTAAGCTGTATTTGGAACAAGGTGAATATGGAAAACTGGACCAGCTTGTGTCGACGCAGAATAACTGTAACCTCCAAACGTGTGTGCCTGACTTGGAACAGCACAAAAGGTTTGTGCTCATCATTTAAGGCTACTTCAGCGTTCACAGGTTATTTTCTAGTTTCTAGTGAGAAGCCACTAACTCAGTTGCTGCCATTTCAGGTTTTTCACACTTGGATTGCTCTATCAAAGTCAAGGCCAGCATTTCAATGCAATTCAGGTATCTTTTAATCTTTGAAAGATCCACAGAGCAATGACTAAAGATGGATCAGAAAGGAAAGTACATTTCTTTCTTTTTTTTTTTTTAGACCTGGGTTAAAATTATGGAAGAGCAGAGTGAGGACCCCTCACACATCAGCGTATTCCAGCAAATAGTTAATACTCTCTCAAATCTGGAACATAAACCCATCATCTGGAAATTTGTAGACTGGGTTCTTCAGAGAGACCAAGAGGCAAGCATTTTAACTGTACTGTTTATCAACAGCAGAGGGCAGAGTTACACAGATTTCATCAAGTCTAGTTTACTCTTTTGCCCTTGGCAGTAAAAGAAACACTATTATGTATCTAGAATTTGCTCCGAGACACTAAGAACAACCTTGCTATAATACACTATTCATCAAAAGTTTGAGTTTGGTAAGATTTTTTTGAATACCTTTGAAAGAAATGTCTTATGCTCACTAAGGCTGCATTTATTTGATCAAAAATACAGGAAAAACTTTAATATTTTGAAATAATACTACGGTTTAAAACAAATGATTGTCCAATTTAATACATTTTAAAATATAATTTATTCCTGTATCAGTAAGGCTGAATTTTCAGCGTCATTACGCCAGTCTTCAGAGTCACATGATCCTTCAGAAATCATTCTAATATGCTCATTTGGTGAACAAGGAACATTTATTATGATTAATGTTGAAAACAGTTGTGCTGCTTAACATTTTGTGGAAACCATGATGCATTTGGATGAATACAAAGTTCAAAAAGTGTGTATATATATATATATATATATATATATATATATATCTTACTACTAAACTTTTGAACATCAGAGTTATTGCATTTTAAGCTAGGCTATGTGTTTTTTCTAAAACATGCTCTTTATTTTAATATAGGCTGGAATACTGATCTTTACAAAGACGCATACACGCAGCCATGTTACATTGGCACCAGAAGAAGTCCTTACCATTCTCACCAGCTACCCACTTGCTATGACTCTCTACTTGGAATATTTAGTCAATGAATTACACAGCAAGGTGACTTATCCATTTGTAATTAATGACTGTTTTAAGGATGGTCACCAGAAATCAAATTTACATTGGCGTTTTGACATACACAAGAGCTTATATGTATAGAACAGTGTTATTTTAGTATTACTGATATACTGTTATAGTTTTATTAATATTTTGAATGAGCTTTTATATTTATATCATTTGAATTTATTTTGCCTTTATTTTTTATTTGAGTTTGAGTTTCATTTTTTTTAGTCATTTTGTTATGTACTTTGACATTTTTGTTCATTTTATTTTTAAAAATATTCACAAGTAGTTTTTTGGGGGTGTAGTTTTATTTCAGTTAATAACTACTTAAACTTAGATTTATCATTTTCATTAAGTTTTTTTAATCTAAAATTTTTGATTTTATTTCAGCTTAATTTCAATTGCCAATTTTTTAAATTAAAGACAACCACTCTGGTATGAAAAGATTTGTAACATTCATAACAGAACACTTCCTCATCAGTCAAAAAGAGCTTCTAGTGAAACTTGATTATAAAAACCGACTCGCTCTGAACTTCTGCAATTTTGTGGCATTGCATCAACACATGACCGTTGTCCACGTTTACACATCAGAACTGGACGATCAGAAACTTTACCTGGCCATTCACAGTGATGCAATAAAGAGAAAGCAGGATAAATGCTATTATTTCTATATCTCAGGGGCCTATTACAGAAAGTTAAGTCTCAAATTAAGCCCTAACAAGCTTCAAACAGAAATCACCATGGTTACTAAACAGACAGGACTCAATTAGGATGTTTCTGTAATATGGTCCCAGAGAACCAAAGTTAAGTGTAAAATGTGTGTAAAACTACTTATTATACAACATGGGGTGCACAGCAGCAAAAAAAGAAATGGTCAGAGAGAGTATAATGATTGAGAGAAAAAAAAACATATTTAAAAAAATAAATTACAAAAGATTCTGTAAAAATGACCCCTTTCATGCCAGTTTACCATTACTGAACACTGCATTTAAGAAACCAGTTGTCTATTCATAGGAAGAAAAGCATCATACCATGCTCATCACATCATATGTCAAATGGATACGGCAGTCAATCGAGGATGACTACAACAATAAAACAAGCAAGGAAGAGATGAGACATAAACTACAGCAATTACTTTGGCAATCTTCTTGCTATAATGTGGACACCATATATGGTGAGCATGCAGATAAAGACTTTAATAGGTTAATTACACTAATATAATTCAAACTTAAATGTGTTTGATATTGTTGCAAGTGTTCATGGATGAAACAAACCACTATACCCTTTATTGCCACAGACCAAATAACACCATCGTTTCTTCATGTGGAGAGAGCAATTTTACTTGGGAAGTCTGGTAAACACAAAAAGGCCCTGCAGGTTTTGGTCCATGAAGGAAAAGACAAGCAGGCTGCTGAAAGCTACTGTTGGAGGACCTCTGCTGGACGAGACAGGAAGTTCATTCAGGGAATGTTTCTCTCCCTGCTTCAAATCTACCTCGAGTCCTGTCAACATGTTATCACGGCAGTGGATCTGCTGAACAAAAATTCAGCGTCTTTTGATTTAGTCAGTGTGTTGAGGGTGCTGCCGGCCTCCTGGTCTCTTAAACTGGTTCTGCGGTTCCTCTGTGAATCACTGAGAGGAACAGTGCATGACAAAAGAATGAGAGGTCTGGAGATGAGCCTAGCCAAGGTGGAAACCCTAAGACACAAGCATGTCTGGGTGAGACGTACTATAAATGAAACCATTTATGTGAGGGGAAAAAACCCCCTCAAATATTCAATTTAACCTAAACAGCAACTCTAATGTTATTCTTTATGCGCCCAGATGGAAGCAACGCATGAAAAGATCCGAGTTGACAGAGGATGTGTTTGCCATTCATGCCAGAAACGTCTTACAGGGCCCGAGTTCCTGCGCAGGCCGACAGGAGAGCTGACACACATATCCTGTCACGGTGGAGAAAGCGGACACTGAACAACAAAGACACTATTATTCACACCTATTCACATTTTAACTCTCAGCAGATGCTGTTTTATCAGGTTGCCTACAATAAAGATAAGTAATTACTTGGATAGTAAGGCAATTACTAGCACAAATTGCTGAGAATATATGACACATGCTAAGACACACACCAACAAAGCAAGCCACAAATACGAGCAGGAAACCCACAACAACTGCACATATACTAAATATAGGACAAATGTGACAAATAGGACAAATGTGACCCTGGACAACAAAACCAGTCAAACCAGTAATTTTTTTGAAAATGAGATTTACAGTACACATCATCTGAAAGCTGAATAAATAAGCTTTCCATTGATATATGAGGGTTTATTTTTTAGGATAGGACGATATTTGGCTGAGAGAACTATTTGAAAATCTGGAATCTGAGGAAATCGCCTTTAAAGTTGTCCAATTGAAGTCCTTAGCAATGCATATTACTAATTAAAAATTTTGATATATTAACGGTAGGAAATGTACAAAATATTTTCATGGAACAGCATCTTTACTTAATATCCTAATTATTTTTGGCATAAAAGAAAAATCGATAATGTTGACCCATACAATGTATTGTTGGCTATTGCTACAAATATGCCTGTGCTTATGACTGGTTTTGAGGTCCAGGGTCACAAATTACAATATTTTTACACACATTAAAAAAATATTTTAATTTTATTATTAGAATAATGTATTATAGTGCAAGATAAAGACTCAGAATTGCAAAAAATGGATCAGATTTCTGAGTGTACATCCCACTTTTTATTTTCTGTGTTTATATTTCACAATTCTGAGGTTTTTTTCCCTCAGAATTGCAAAAGTCTAAATTGTTTTTTAAAGAAGTCTCTTATTTGATAAAAAATGACATAAAAAACGGTAAGGTTGTGAAATATTATTACAATTTAAAATAACTTTAAATTGTTCTATTTTAATCTATTTTAAAATGTATTCATTTGATGGAAAAGTTTAATTTTCAGCATCCACTTCTTCAATCTTCTTGTATGATCCTTCAGAAATCATTATTATATGCTGATATGCCCATTATTATTAATGTTATAATCAGTTATGCTGCTTACTATTTTTGTGGAAAACATGATACATATATTTTTAGGATCCTTTGAATAGATCAAAAGTAGTTTTTTTTTTTTTTATAAAAAAATCTTTTGTAACACTTTTGGTCAATTTAATGCATCCTTGGTGAATAAAAGTATTAATATCTTTCAAATGAACTTTTTTTGCATTATTTTACAGTATTTTTCTCTTTTTGCAACTTTCTCTGAAAATAACACACATACAATTCAAGTACAAGCCAAAGCCTAGGCATGCCAATATAAATAATAATAAACTATTCTTTCAGCCATGTTCATTCATGCTTCATGTAGATTCATTGAGGCTGTATGTCTTCTGACTTGGCTGAAATGACCTTTGCATACTATGGGCCTCGACGTGGGTTTCAGAGAACAAACTATATTATAAACAAGTCGACATCTCTTTTACACCCGCTGGACTGGGTTGGCTCAGTGCTGTCTGCTCCTATCCCAAGCATGGTGAGGAACTGGCAGCCTGACAAACCCAGGCTGTATACCACTTCAGGACATGGTGCTCTCCAGACAAGCCACCTTATGTGGACAAATTCTCAGACCAGACTGTTTAGTTTGTGGACATGAAAATATAAATCACAGAACGCCTCAAATATGTTATCACGTGATTCAGAATATACCAAACAGACTGTGATATGTCAAAGTGATTCACTGTTGCATAAAGTCTTCTGCTTCCATTCCTGTTATAAAAAAATCTCTTGCCACTCTTGTCCTATTGCACAACTGGCTTTCATTTTATTGTGTTTACAAACAAGACGACATTAAAAAAAAAAAGCTTTAACACAGATGTGCCAAACTATTTGTTTGTATTTATCTAATATCTGTAGGTGGTATTCATAAGCTGCATTCATAAGGCAAATTAGCTAAAAAGATGCGTTTTGAGAGCTTATGGTGTACATTTTTTTAATGTTATGCACTTACTGGGCATATCCCACAAGAAATAAATAAATGTGGAAAACAGGAAATGTGCTTAATTGTAATTAAATTATTGTCATGATGGATCAAAAAAAATGGTCCCAAAATAAATAGGTTAATAAATAGTTTTAAGTAAAACAACTATTTTTTTTAATAGAAATAAAATTGAGGCAAAAACTAACCCAGACAGGTCGTGTGTAATTCTACTTTGCATTTGCTATGCATGAAGTACGCTGTAAATAATGTGCATATTGTGCAATTGTGCATTAGGGCAAAAAGGTGATTATGCAAAAAGTACATCCATATGGGTCCATGTTCAACAAAGATGGTTTAATATTCAATATGCACTTATGAGTTGACCACACTGACTGTGACTCATTCTGCCCCCTGTTAAATCCGACCGCTTGTGTGCAGGGCCGGGCCGATGGTCATTTGGGTGGACTCTGAGTTTACTTTAGGATCCCTCCCTTCTTTGATAGATGCCTCTTGGGACCTTCAGTGTTTTGACATTTCAGGGCTAAAGAGACTACAAACCCACAAGCTTGCAGTATTGCAGCAGTTTTAGTAGGTTTGATTTAAACTAGCTTCACTTGACCTTTCAGGCGTTGTTTATGCTCACCAATACTCAAATAATAAAGCAATCTGGTGCAGATACTTGCTTATATGGCCAGTCAGCATGTCCCCTGGAGAGAAGCCGGGGATCTTTAAAGGCTTCGGCACAGATGGTCATTTTACACATGAGGAAACAGGATGGATGCAAAAATCAACAGTTACAGAACAAATTGTGGTAGAGAACCAGTCATCTTTATAAATATCTACACCACAGACAGAGGAAAAGAGTAAAAACAAAAAACATCCCGTGCTTCTAAATATAAAGGTAGACATCTAAAATGCCTGTGTTTACTTCAAAACATTTTTTATTTAGAAATGAATTGGAAACATACCCTGTACTTCCAAATGGAATCGGTTTTATACTTTGTTTGTGTTTACTTATGGCTGAATTTAATGGGGATATAAAGCGCTACCATTTTATAATTTAAGACTCACGACAAAATGTGTCATGAGAGTAAACATTAGATAGGTTGAGTTAGTAAAACTATGGTGATACTATATGTGTTCTGTAGAGAAAGTGTGGTAAAATTACATGATGTGCATACAGTAAAACTTGTGTCACTGACCTGCACAATATATACCCTAATATTGTTCCAAAAAATGTATGCCGAAATTCAGAAATTGATGCACTATTTTTGATTCTAGACATTAAAACAAACTAGACACACGTTTTGGTAAAAGTAAAAATTATCATAATTTTTACTATTACCAAAACATACTGGTAATTTTTTACTATTACCAAAACATACTGAAATTCGAAATTTAAAATGCATAATTAAATTTCTAATTTCAGTATGTTTCTCACAAACCATTGGTTTGGCTTGAAGACGTGCAATGCGAGAGACAACGCACAAGTTTTTCTTTTCTTTTTGGAGTCTGACAGCTTCTCAACACTATAACTCTTGCGTAACAATTCTTTAAAATCATCTACTTGTGTTCCTCCAGAAAAATGAAATGCACAAGGGTGAATTAATAATGACAGAATTGACGTTAGGAGAGATATTTCTTTAAGTAAAACACAAAGATGCTCAGTCAGCTGTTGGTGCCAGCAATGCCAAGATGCAATAATCCTGAGACATCTGTTGGGCATCTGAACAAGAAGACATCACACTGTGAGCGTCAGGTAGCTGCTTAAATACAGTACAACCATGGGAACTGGTACGGTATATGTAAGTGCAGCTCAGCCAGTTTTAGCAAATAAGCCACAAACGATTGCAACGTATTCTTTATGGCACATTTTTCTGGCCTCGGTGGTTGCTGAGACACAAGGAGAATCTTAATTTGCAACCTTTGGATAGCAATAATGGTAAGGTACCCAAGAAACATAAAGATAGAACCATCTTTAATTTGCAGTTTCCTTGAAGAAGCTATTGCTATAGTGAGGAAATCCGAGAATAAACACCCCAAAGGATGATCAAAACATATCTATTTTTCAACCCCTATTAGCAACGCTGTCATTTACATAGCTTTCTTTACCTTCGGTTTTGGAGCCAGGCCACCAGGGGATAGTCACAGCGTAGACCACTGGAGACACTGGGGAAGAGGCAAAGACCACAGGCTCCTACCATGCATCCTGGCTCCAAGACATGGCCTATAGTGTGGCGTGTAGAATAATCCCACAGCAGGGCATATGGGATTTGCTCATTCCCAGCACACATCTTTCTCTGCTTTGTCTAGCTGTCGTACCCTCACACAATGGACTGAATGCTCATTGTTAGCATGTTTGACGGCCATGCAATCAGTCTAATTAACATGTAACAATGGCAGTGTCAAACTTCAGCTGCCTTCCAATTTGTCATCAGAGTGCTATTTAAGGGCTAAAATAAAAATTGTTTAGTATGCAAAAGAGCTATGCAAGCTGGCAAGGTGAATTGGCTTTGAAACTTTAAGTAAATGGGGCCTTTTGCATGCAGATGTTTTTGAGAAGTAAATATAGATTCATGAACACGCCATACTAGGAAACCTGTTTATCTTCTACTTATGGTTATTAACATAATGAGCGGGACTATAAGGACTAATGACTTTGCGAGATTGGTCGACGTCCATAGAAAACTCTTGGCTCGAATGTGTTAATTAAGGGAGAATGAAGATATTGAGTTTAAATATGATATAACAAGCCATGAAATAAATATGGAAATTTACAGATCTTGGAATCGTAAAACAATATTGCCATGCTGGCACTAAACCAAGTGTATGCTCAAGGGTGGTTCCCTTGACTTGGTTTTGAACTTGAGGACCCGAGTGTAATATACATTTAAAGTAGCTTTCCTAACCCTACTGCATCCCTGCTTCTGGGAAGGACAGTAATTGCTTTTGCTGACTCATGGAAGCCCACATTACGGCATTGTTATCCTTGTTTTTAGTGTGTTAACCCTCAAATTCTCTGTTGCAGTTAAAAGTCATTTTTAACTATTGAGGGTGGTTAAAACCACCACTATTTACCCATACTCATAATTCTGTATGATTGTCTTATTTATATATCATTGAATTTATGTAATGTATGACAGCATAAATTCAGCAAAAAAGTGGTCAAGCACAAAGTACTTCTGAAATATCTGGAATGA